TCCTCCTCCTCCGCCTCCTCCTTCTCCTTCTTTCTTTTCTTTTCTTTTCTTCTTTCTTTCTTTCTTTCTTTCTTTCTTTCTTTCTTTCTTTCTTTCTTTCTTTCTTTCTTTCTTTCACTTCTGGGTTGCAAGTGCAGGTTTGTTACTCAGGTAAACAAACATCTGTCGTGGGATTTTGTTGTACAGATTATTTCATCACTTAGGTCTTAAGCCTAGTATCCTTTAGTTATTTTTCCTTATCCTCTCCTCCTCCCACCTTCAACTCTTCGATAGGCTCCAGTGTGTGTTGTTCCCCTCTATGTGTCCATGTGTCCTCATCATTTACCTCCCACTTGTATGTGAGAACATGCAGTATTTGGTTTTCTGTTCCTGTGTTAGTTAATGTGCTAGATAATATGTTCAATAACGGCCTCCAGCTTCATCCATATCCCTGCAAAGGACATGACCTCATTCTTTTTATGGCTGCACAGTATCCCAAAGTATATATGTACTATGTTATCTTTATACAGTCTCGCATTTACGGGCATTTGGGCTGATTACACATCTTTACTATTGTGAATAGTGCTGCAATTAACATTTACGTGCATGTGTCTTTATGATAGAATTATTTATATTCCTTTGGGTATATACCCAGTGATGGGATTGGTAGGTCAAATGACATTTCTGTCTTTAGGCCAAAAAGTCACATTCTAAATTCTTTAATGAACTTAGAATTGACAAAGCCTGGAAATTTGATTGGGTATTCAAGACTGTCTATTCCCGGCCCATTTTTTTTTCCTTCTTAGCGTTAACTGTATTACTTTGTGGAAGCTACTGCTAAACTAAACTGTTTCTTGTCCTCTATTTACATGTCCTGCCTCTGTCCATACAGCACTTTACCTATACTTGCTTATGCATATCTGTATTTCTGCATTTCTCTGCAGTTGGAACTCAATTAGATAAAAAGGCTTAAAACATTAAAGGCTTTTTAATTGTATTACATTTGAAGTAACAGAAGCCACAATAGGATTAAGAGTAGTAGCAATATGTCACCTTTCACAGAGAGTTACTTTTATTTATCCTCAAAAGAAACTAATTTTCTCTATCCCATTGTCACTGTTTACTCTGTGTGTGTGTGTGTGTGTGTGTGTGTGTGTGTGTATGTGTGTATTTTGTTTTGATTAGCCACTACCTATACCATAAATATTATAAAAGTAGTGATCGTGTATCTTTTATCTTCTGCTTATCACTGTGTACCTATTTCTGAGTACATGGTAAGTAAGTGCTCAATAAATAACTGTAAAATAAAAATAAATCAATCAGTCTGAGAGAACAATGCCATATTACTTTCAATTCTCTGGTATGGGCAACTGATTCTGACTTTGTTCATGTATTTGGTCCTGTATAATGAAGGTCACAAAATTATTTTTTAGGAAAACACTACTAGTTTGACTAGGCTAGTTATATTTCCTTGAAATTGTCAATTTGTAAAATGCTAGCTATTATTTCACTAGCCACCATTAATTTTAAGGGAGTTCTAGACATTTTTATTATATTTATATCTTCATAAAGTTACTTCTGTCTTTAATACAGTCTTTGCTAATTTCACATATTTGATGATTGCTGGAGAGAAACTGAATAGGCTTGTATAACTTTAGAATTAGTGTTAGGAAAGAGAATAGATTTTACTAATACTATTTGATGAATATTGACCAACCAAAGTTATATTTCAGGTACTAAATGTTGTTAGCCCTCTTCAAAATTCTTTTTTGTTTCCCCAGTGGTGTTATAAAGCTGCCTACAAAATAGTCTTTCCTATAGTAATGTTCATGGCCACATTCTAGTATTATGCAAGAGTGGAAATTGATGATAGATTTTTTAAAACTGACTTAGGACATACCCAGTGAAATTTAGAAGGATAAGGTGGAAATCCTTTTCAGAAGGCTATACTTCTTGCATAGCTAGTTAAGAGAAAAGATGGACAGAAGAAAAAAAAAGGCAGTCCCTTTGTGAGAAGTAATTGGAAAATGCCTTCTGACCTCACATTAAGTAGATACATGTGATGGAACTATAAAATGATATGATTTATTCTAGGTTTGTTCCCGAGTTGAATTTAGGGCTTAACCTACTGAAATTTAATGAACTCTTCCTGGGCTCAAAGTATTATTGAATAAGCGACTGAATTCCCCCACATAGCTTTTGAGTACAGCTGTGGTGACAGGAAGTGCTTCTAACACTGTGTCCCTGTTCACATTCTGCCTTGAACTTGAATAAGTGACTTAACCTCTCTAAACCTTGGAAATCCCAGCAGCGATGCCTGCAATACCGGAATGTTGGAGATTTTAAGGCACGTAAATGGTCCCTGAGTGTGAATGCCCACAGTCCAGAGCACTTGACTCCTGACCAGTGCTCACTACTGTTATTTAAGGGAATGCCTGACTAGCAGACAAACTGATGGACAGTTCTTGGGGTTCATACAAGTTCATACAAGGGGTTCATACAAGTTCATACAGGGGGTTCATATGAGCCTTTTCTGATGACTAGCCTTTATTCTGAAGATTGAAGTATGTGTATACTTACAATATTGAGTTGAGCCCAAGTTGAATAATTGAAGATATTTTGCCTTTCAAATACTAAAGACTATGTTATATATTCTACTTTAATACTCATCTAGTTATATACATTCCAATTTTTAAGTGGTTTAAATCAATCACATACTTGTAAAAGATCAATGTGCCTGAATCCAAGACAGAGATGAAATTTATCTTCCAAAGTTGTATCAGTCACTTACTATATAACACATTAAATGTTTGTCAAAGGCAAATATTGAGGATATTCTATTTTTGCAATTTGATTTTAGATTTCAGGAAGCTTGTCTGAGCAGATCATTTTAAAATTTCTCTTTTGAATTTTTATATTACTCTCTTATTTTAGAAAAAAAATTTTGAGGTCAGACTTGTCTAACTTAACATCTGAGATTTTTGACAATAATTTTAGTACACCGGCTTACATATATATTGGTTGAAATAATTTCTACTTTTAAGGACAATGTGTGTGGATCTAAATTGGTATTCTATTAATTCTCTGCATCTTATATTTTTTTCCTCAAACGTAGGTCATGGGAATAGTCCTCTACTTTATGTTTAGATTGCTGCTTGATCACTTATTTCTTTTTTTAGGATTTTAAAGCCTTTTTACAGTTTCCCTCCTACTGTTTTGTTTGGCAAAGCCTTTCTAACTCAAACGGCTAAAATAAGAGTTCCACAGTAGCAGGGTG